TGGGGCCAGGCTGAGGCCCTCCTGAACCAGCTCCTGCGTCTCAGAAGGCTTTTTTAAGAACAGCTTCACTATAGCAGTCAGTAGGGTGAGTTGCACCTACGAGAAAGAAACAGAGTAGAGATCAGAAAAGTCATTCGTGCTTTAGCAGTGTGTCCCAAGTCTCAAGATCCTTTACTGATAAGAAACTCAAGACATAAGCTTTATAACAGCATTACGCTATTCCTCTCCAGTGAAACCCAGTACAATGAAACCCAGTCTCTTGCCTCTTTGCAGACAAGTCCCTGATCAGCACACTGAGATTTGTGTCATGCTTTTATGCATCTCATCACTGCTCTTCTGTATGTTCTGGTCCTAGTAGGGCTATTCCCCAAGAAGTATCTAACATGTTCTATCTCCTGTTCTGTCTGACCCTTCCAAGAAGAGAAGTTTGGGAGATACAGACGAATTACAGACTCTCAAGAATTTTATTTTAGCTAAACATTGGCATTTTCATTGCCAGGTATTTTTTGACCACTGCAATAATATTTGCCATCTGTCCCATACACACGCTGCACGAAACACTACAGATAAGATGCACAAGACAACTTTACCTGAGTACTTTCATCATGGAAGCCCTCCAGAAAACTTTCCAACAGCTCATCTGCATTGTCAATTCTCTCTGCATATTCGCCCACTATCCAGATCATGGCAGCTCTGGCATCTGGTTCATCCAGGGAATCTAGGTTCTCGCACAGGGTGGCAATGATGCTTTCGTACCTATTTGTCAGAGTACAGGTGGATTGCCAGGGTGAATTCAACCCATGTTACTCCATCTCAGCCCACATCATTCTGCAGAGAATCCTGCACTGAATTACAATTCTACACAACCAGCAGCATTTTCACTCAACTACTGAAGATATTCCTGGGCTTTTTCTAAACTGAGCACTAAGATTCTCACAGGGTCTTCAAAAGCTTTGCAATTTCTTTAATCAGCAAGACCATCCAGATGTGGAATTTGAGGCAAAGCTGCCTCCCTCTCTGTTTTGCTAAAGGAAACATCTGATCCCACAGTTCAAATCACGAGTCTGTATCAGACTCTGCAGCCTCACTGCCATCTTCAGACTGGTAACTCTAAACTGGATATTACACTTCCCCAAAGGCTTTGCTGTAAAAGAGACAATACCCCACTAATTATTTAGCTTCCCTTATTCCCATGCGTGGGTATCCCTGTCACAAGCAAGCTATCTTGTAACTGACAGCAGAAACTGCCAGAGAGGCCTGCAGATGTCCTCTATTAATTTTCAGGTGATCATGGAAGCCTCTGTTGAAAGACATTGCTGCTGTTCTCTAGCTGAACAGACAAAATCTTATTACACAAACAGCTTAAAAGCAGCTGAGTACTGCCCGAGCCAGAGAGAACGCTCGATGGAGAAAGCCAGCAGCGTTTTGTTCAGCACAATCTGGCTGGGATCTCAGATCATGAGAGCCATGAACTTCCATGAGATTGTATATAAGCCTTCTAGAGGGGATGAGCAAAACCAGAAGCCTGCTGCTCTAAACTTGGTCCAATTTTCCTTCTGGCATTTTCCTCAAGAGCTTTACTAGCTTTCGATCAAGGCTTATACTCGATATGGAGAAGAGGGGATGGACAAGATTCCCATTCAAACCAATAATGTGTCCAGCCAATACCTCATCTAGAGCAAGTATGTGAATCCTGCCGCGCTAGGAGCTAGGATCAGAACAGACACTGCTTTTCAGAAAAGCAGCCACCTTTGCTTCAGAGCCCTCGTTAGGTGTGCTGAGAGTTTTACATCGCTCTGTTCTGATGCCAGCAGACAAGGGTTTCCAAAAGCCTTATACTACTTCCACATACTTGTTGGGGTACTTGCGGAAGATGTCCCTGATGACAACGATGGCCTCCTGGACCACATAGTTGACCTTGGTCTGGATGAGGTCTAGCAGTGTGCTCACGCAGCGCTCCGCAGATTGCTAGGGAGAAGAACAAAGCAACACAATTAAAACCAGCTGAAGAAACACTCCTTCCCAGCACACACTGAGGAGGCACACGCTAAGGAACGAGGCATGCATACCAGGAAAGGTCCAGAGGGGGAAAACTTAAAGAACAACAGCTACTAACTCAATATGTGTGTCCAGAAAAAAACTACAGGTTTACAAATGCTGTGTATTACAGTGGAGATACCAGCTGACTCCAGGTTCTATAAAAAGTAATGGCTGAAGAAACTGTGTCAGTAGATAGTTGGATCACCACGCAAGAGACCTTAAGAGCATTGCCTGCATACTACTTGTATCACCCTCTTGCTGGCTAGCAGTTGAAACGGGCCACCGAATGAGCTCTCTTGGACTTGCCCAAGCTGTGGCAACCATGGCTGGGAGAGTTTTGACAGGGACTGCAGGAAAGCATCTGGGGAAGCTGGAAGGCAGGAGAAAACCATGCTGTCAATCAAGCTGCAAGAAGAGCAGCAAAACGCAGCACGCACCAGCAGGAGGTTCAGTATTTTTGGGGTGAGGTCACTAGCAACATGTGAAGCTACAGTTATAAAGAGAAATCCAGCAGTTGGTAACACAGCTTTCACATTAATTAGTTCAAAATTCCCAGCCACAGGCACTTCAAGATAACAACAACTGGACACTGGCAAGCTCCAGGAACCAGAACTGGAGTCAGTGGCAAACGACTCAGTGAGGTCTACTCCCAAATAGCACAGTGGGGCAGGACGTCACAGGAGCAACCAATTCCAGCCCCGGAGAGTCTCAAACAAGGACAGTGATTTGCCTATTAGCAGAGCACATTAGGAAGCCTCATTACACAGCTGGTGATTAATGTGAGAAGCAGACTGCTCATGACACTGCCTAGGCAGGCACCAGCGGAACACGCGTACCGCATTCGGGATCGAGACAAACACCGTCGGGCACAAACAACGGCACCGTAGGTGGATTTTTCAATTCAAGTGAGTTGTCAGTCCCCTTTGCTTTTCCAGCACTTAAGGCTGGGCAGGAGCAATGAAATGGTGTTTAAGTCAGTCACAGGAATCAGTTTTTTGAGAACGGGCAAAAAAATCTCAAGGACAAACCTCAACACTTGTAGAGCTGAATTTGGGACAAGTAGATAGTAAAACCCTCTTGGTGACTTCTCGCCCTCGCGACTCACTGTCTGTGGGATCTCACAAACAGTCTACAAGAGCCAGCGCTGACGTGGGGATTGGCCAAGAGAGCAGACACTGTAAACCAGCATTTGCCCTGTCTTTGCAAACTGGCACTCGAGGCCAGGAGACTCTCCCCTGAAATTCACACCAAACAGGAAAATATCCAGCACAATGGGTATCAGAGTACGGAGTGGCATGATATAAAATGATACGATCGGTATAACTTCTATTTATTTATTTATTTTTAACACAATACCTCTCTATTATATCAAATGATACGATCGGTATAACTTTTATTTATTTATTTTTAACACAATACCTCTCCCTCTTTAACATGGCTTTATAGGTACTACGCCACTATGGAGGCAGCAAAAAGGCAATCTGACAGTGTCCTACTCTGATCTCTTCTCTGCTCAGGAAGAGATTTGAGACCTGTGACCTGGAAGACTCTTCCATTTCATGGAGACTGACCATGGCCCTGGCTCAAGGCAGACTGACATCTCTCACAGTGGGAACCCCACTCGAAGTCCTTGCAAGCTAGATGCTTCAGAGTTTGCAATTTCATCTCTTACCAGTTTCTCAACAACTTTCACTAGATGATTTAACAAGTGGCTTTAAGGGGCACTTGGAGTAAATCTGTCCTAAGCCAACTCTACTCTACAGAACCTACAGCATCAGTCACTGTTTGCAACAAGCAGTCCAGCCTTGTCAGATCCTATAACTAGCAAAGCTCTAAGAGCTGAAGAATTCAAGGAAACACAAATTAAGGTTGACTTTTCTTTAAACACTTTGAAGTGTTATTTTTCCAGGAAGAGCGCAACATCCACTTTGAAATATCCAGTATTGATTTTTAGCCCAAGAGTCCCTCAGAAAGCGAGCAGTCACATGGGCACATGCACAGCAGAGCAGCCTCTCTAACAAAATTTTCCTGTAACAAAATACATCTCAGCTCGCCCCATCTCTTGTAAACACATTTCTATTTGAAGGTGGACATCCCTGGGGACTGCAGTGCTCTGCAAACTGATGAAAGAGTGCCCCAAACAGAACAACTCTCAAGTTGGAGTGAGGAAGGACAACCAAACAACGTCAGACTTGCTTTGTTTTTTTGTAGAAACCAAATGAAAGCCTGCAGGATTATTGAAGCAGCACATACCATGCTCCCCAGCCATAAGCCTCAAAGATTTCTAAGAACTGGGGTCCTGGTAGAATCTCCTGGAACAGAGACAAATCCCCCTCTACTATGGTTTCTTCTGCTTCTCCTTTGCTCCAGAGGAATCATTATTGGAGTAAGAATACTGCATCCACTTAATTTGCTTTTCCCACAGGAGTGCCACTTGTTTCCTTACAATGAAACCATCAGATGACTTCTTCATCTAGTGCTGTCGATGAAGCAAAGCAAGGCACAAGCCAGATACCTTCACCTCATGCTGCCAAGTCTAGCTATACCACACGGCTTGCTGTAGACATACTGAAGTTAACTCTGAGCGTAGCTACTCTATCCATGCAAAATGATGTTGTTCTAACATTCCCCAAGCCAACATGACTACTGAAGCCTGGGCAAAACCCATCAGCCTTGCTATTCAGCATGGGTATTGCTTACATTTCCATTAGCACCATGCACTACTACGCGTCAAAGGTAATGCTGCACTTGCTCTACGGAGCATGTTACAGATAAATTTATTTACTGTCCTACTCTTTCAGGAGAGACAATTAGACAAAAGGTGGGACCCTTGAAAGCAGAGCTGAGGCTTCCCATGAATAGTCATTCATCAACAGCTCCTGCCAGCTGTGCCCTATGTCAAAAAGCAGATTTCTAAGTCTTGGGAACTTGGACACTGATGGCTGAGAGAACGTTCTTCCATGAGTCATAACTCACTGTGCAAACAGGCTCTAGTAAACACAGATGCACTGGGGATAGGGATTAACCTAGAGATGAGGACACTATAATGAGCTGTTCTATATTTGCCCTCTTTAAATCTGGCTCTTGTCAGAGGAGCAAACAGACCTCAACTCTGGCAGCAGTGTCTTCAAAGGAGCGTTGCTAGAAGTCAAGTTTAGCAGGACTTATTGAGACACACACGAGGGTCACTGCAAATTTGCCAAGACATTATTACTAGTCCTTTGCATCTTGAATGTGACTGTCATGGTACCAGGGATGGGAAGAAAGAATGCAGAGGATGAGGGCAGGAAAAGGCAAAAACTTCTAAAAACATCTGGATACTGCAGGAATGTGCCCCCTTTCATGTGCAGCTAGGACAGACACATGGCCAAGTCCTAACAAGAAAGTCCCTACTGAAAACTAAAGCAAACTCCCACTCCTCAGCACAAACACTGCTACAAAAAGGGCTGCCACCAGCTTCTTTTTACTTCTCAGCAGCCCTCTGCCATGCTCAAGAGTATTTTCTACTGTCACTGCTGCAGCTCCATCGAGACACCCCCTGCCTGCATGCGACACAGAAGGAGCGCTCTGGTATTTCGAACTGCAGACATGAGACAGAGGCAGTGATCACCAGCTCTACTGAGCCTCGCTTAAAAGAAAGCCCACAGCAGTGACAAGCCTTCAAGAGCTGATGGAAGGAGCAGAAGGCTGCACGGGCGGCCGATTCTCTCACGAGGACAGAAGTTGGTGTCCTCTTCACACAGGCTTACAGTAGTCTAGCTGAAACAAGGGAAACCTGTGCACCGACACTGTACTCAGCCAGGCATGATTAGGGTTTTATTTAAATCTGCTGTCAGGCAATGCTCATGGGAACACACTGTAGCAAAAGCTAAACGAGCTCAGCTGAAATTAGGCCACTTATGACATTTTGCACTCGGTTATCAGTTTACTGAAAAGTACCAACACCACAACATAAGTCTTCTCTCTCTTCTTCACAGGCTTTCTAAGCTCCTGTCGGGCGTACCAGATTCATTTGCAGAGAAATTAACAGAGACATCCCAAAAAAAAAAAGAAAAAATTCTATTATGAGCATTTTGGTGGATGTTCCACTGGCAGAGTATATTTCAGACTGCTGTTTTGGATAACTGCAGAGGTTCTTGGGAACTTATTTGCCTAACTATCTAGGCTAAAGAGAGCACACTCCAAACAAAGCTACAAGCTGTGCAGACCTTTAACACTAGATAAGCAGATGGAGTCACTCCATGTTTGCGCAAACTGCACCTAAGTGCCCCAGATCTCTGTAGTTCTATGCACGTGTTCTATTCAGCTGAAACATGAGGGACACAAAACATTTCATAACACTGAGCTTCTCTGCACAATCTCTTCTCCTTCCTCCTTCAGGCCACAGCTATTAAGGCAGGTCCTCATGGGTAAGTGGTCATTGCTCCATTGAAGTCAGTAGAGTGAAACATTCCATCAAGGATTATTTAGCTGCCTTGCTCTGCCTACAAGCTGAGGTCTGAAAGGAGCACACCACCCTCCTGTGATGGACTCAACCGCGGCTCACAAGTCCGGCTGTTCAGCTGGGGCTTTGCCCATAAGCATGATGTATCCAGGTCACTTGACTGCCAACACAGGAGCAAAGAAAATTTGCGTAACATGGGAATGAGATGGCAAAACTCATCGTTGTTTTTGAAGACAAACGCAGAAAACCTCCAGTTTCTGATACTTGCCTCCACCTTGATGGCACAGCGCCCAATTGCTCGGACAGCCTTGCGCACGAAGTCAACGTCCACCTCAGTAGCGTATTCCTTGAGCTCTGCCAGGACCTGCAGAGAAGGAGCACCAACATGAGCGCCTGGGGTGACAGAGAGAACATCCCACTCTGACAAGCGATGTTTCCTGCGTACCAGAACATGAGCAGGATGTATTCTTCCACAGCTCGCCACACGCATTCGAAGCCAGTGCAGTCAAACTCTAATCCATCTCTCTCTCTGAAGCCCACTGGCTTGGATAAGGCAGCAAGGCTTGGTTTAGACTGGCCAATGCCAAAAGACAGCTGGGTCTAGATTATTTTCAAATTCCCCTGAACAAAAGCTGGGGGCAAAAATCAGCTCTGCCAAACGTAAATGTTGCTATTCCTTCTTACATGGAAAATACAGTGAAGCAGGGGTCGCATCCATGCACATAGATTTTTATGTACAGTTTATTGTACTTGTTGTTCTGCATTCACTGTATGCAAAGCTCTCAGCAACAACTGTTTCTGATCTTTCCTGTGCAGAGGTGAACCTCTGGATACCTACTGGATCCAAAAGGAGGAGGTAGAGGAGATCTGAGAACACCCTGGAACACATATGTAGAGATTAATAAAAGTGTGAAGATTTTTCCTCTCTTAAGAATAAGATTTACTATTTTGTCTCAGTTGTTTTGCTAATGGAAGCTGAATGAGGGCTTAAACCAGGACCTGCTGGGATCTTACACACCACTAACTAAAGAGCTACTTTATCTTAAACAAATCACTTAGCTTAGAAAAAATGATTTTAAAAAAAGAACCTATGTAATTTATATTCCCTCAAAATCTCATTTGTTTCAGTTTCTCATGTCAAACATGACATCAGGGATTTCATCGTGATGCTGCAAACAGGTTGGGAGGGAGAGGTGAACAGCACAAAGCGAGACAGGAGTTTGAGAAATCTCTGGCCAATGCCAATTGCTCAGAACGATTACGAGATAAAGAGGCCTTGAAGGGCCAGACTGCAGACAAATAAATCTGCAAGAAGTAGACAGGACATCTGTGTTTTGAAGTTTTATTATTTCCTTGGATGATCTATGTTGCACAGTACTTAGAGCACCCGGGTTGAGTAGCTTATGCTTTTCAAATACTGCCCGAGTCCGAGAGCCTTGGACACAAGCAGCCTGCTGTTCTGGTCTAGAACGGACATGGAGATGAAGAGTCTCGACAAGCTGCACAGGGAGGATGCAGGTAGAAGCCTGCTCTCCTTGGGTCTCATTTCAGGGTGTATTTCTGAGAAAGCTTGAGCTGTTTTCAGGAATGTCTCTTTAGAACCAGGAAGAGATTCATTCATTAGTCTGCAGATTGCAGTCCCAGACTGTGCCCTCCAGACACCACTGCCTTTCATCCAAACAACCCGCATTAGCTAAACATTATGCACTAAAATTGGTATGGAGCCTACCAAGAGTAAACAGAAAATTCTGAATCTATTCTCATGGAAACTGATTTTTAAAATGTTTTCCATGTCCCCAGCACAAAAGAGGCATGAATTACCTTGCTCTGTTCCAAAAAACATCAGAGGAGAGAGCTGAAGAGAGCTGCTTAAAAATGTCATATTAAATGAAATTGCTCTGTAACAGTTAGGATAGGACAATAATAACACTAACCAGAGGCATTAATCATTCTGCATTAGTGTTAGGGCTTGTGGCCAGGGTCACACTCGAGAACACTTCTTTTAAGAGTGGAATCTGGATTAAATCAACATCAAATCCAAGGAGAATCGACACTGTAAAGTAGTCTCAATTCAGTTTAGCTTTTAACTTGGTGCAGTTCCCACTCTGGAAGCAAGTTAAGCAAAATAAAGGCTATTTTAGCTCTGAAGAGTGCCTGTGCAATGGTTTAACAACTTAACTAATACACTTAAATTCACACTTCAGTAACATTTGGCCTTTCTGAATATCTCTGTTACAGGCACACCTCTCTCACTTGAAACAAGCCTCTCATTCCAACCTCAGCACCAGCACTGACTCATTTGACAGGAAACACCAGCTCTCCTCCAGGAATTGTAATCTGTAAAATGAGTTCTACCTAACGGTCACGATGCAAGACATACCATGATATTAACATTTAAATTACGGAGGAAACTCCAACACCTCCCATTAAGCAGCTGCAAAGAGCACTATACCAGAGACAGGGATGCCTAAAAGCCAGGACAACACCAGCAGTAGTTGCATACATCCTCATGCAAGGACCATCAGAGGGCTTTCCATCCCCAGAACACATGCAGAACACATCAGAAGTTGCTTGGCTTACCTGGGCAATGTTTGCTTGAGAAGCTAGGCGTATCATGATGTCCAGTTTCTCCAGTTTGACATAGATGGGGTCATTGTACTTCACAAAGAACACCTTGATTTCCTGCTTCAGGATTTCAGGCCTGGTGGGAACATAACATTGTTTCACTCAAGACTGGGAAAAATGATGGGCTCTATCCTAACTGAGGGTATCTTTTGTCTAGAAACCTGCCCAAGCACTCACTGAGAATCAGAACGGTGTCATTTTGTGTCCAGGACATGCGAACAAACATATTAGCGCAACGGTTTTAAGGAAGTTAAAAGGCTAGAGGGAAAGATTGTTTAAATACAAAATGTGCAATTCAAGTCTCTAACTATGCCTGCATCTCCACCTCCTCCATTTGAGCTGCTGAGCCAACCACTGCATACAGTCAGGGGACGTCAGCGTTTTCAGTGAAAGAAGAACACCCTCATCTCAATGCAAAACCCACCTACAAACTCATTTTCTGCTTTCACTTGCAAGATGCCAGTGCACAGTAACTCTGCCCTGAATATAATCACAAAATGCTACTCAACCTATCCTGCCTTTCCAGCGAGGAACAATGGTATTTAAACATGCACGTAGGAGTAAACTGAGGAAAAAAACCAACCCATTTTACATCAGTATGCCACCAGCCTGGTTCTTCTGTGCTGAAGAGAACAGCATAGGCACATTGAGTTTCTACAGGTCTCTATGAACAGTTACAGCCTCTTTATTTGCTCCTCCCCCTCTACTCTGCCCTGGTGAGGCTGCATCTGGAATATTGTGTCCAGTTCTGGGCCCCTCAGTTGAAGAAGGACAAGGAACTGCTTGAGAGTCCAGCTCAGGGCCACAAAGATGATGAAGGGAGTGGAGCATCTCCCTTATGAGGAAAGGCCGAGGGAGCTGGGTCTCTTTAGCTTGGAGAAGAGGAGACTGAGGGGGGACCTCATTAATGTTTATAAATATGTAAAGGGTGACTGCCATGAGGATGGAGCCAGGCTCTTCTCAGTGGCATCCAATGATAGGACAAGGGGAAATGGACATAAGCTGGAACATAGGACGTTTCGCTTAAACATGAGGAAGAACTTCTTCCCAGTAAGGTTAACAGAACACTGGAACAGGCTGCCCAGAGAGGTTGTGGAGTCTCCTTCTCTGGAGATGTTCCAAACCCGCCTGGACGCGTTCTTGTGTGATCTGATCTAGGTGGTCCTGCTCAGGCAGGGGGATTGGACTAGATGATCCTTTGAGGTCCCTTCCAATCCCTGACGTTCTGTGATTCTGTGTAATCTGATTTATAGTCTAATGAGAGGGCAGATCTTACTGCTCTTAAAAAGGCAGTGAAGAGAGAGGCAGGTAAAGAAATACTGTATGATACTAGTATCACAAGTATGCTGTAAAGAAAATTAATTCAGGCTATCAGAGTCATGAGACTGTTTAATCTGTTTCTCAACGGATCTGAACCTGGATTAAAAGAAGTTCTGTGCATGTGGAAATACCTGAAGGTCTGAGATAACCAGATACCCTTTGACAACAAGGAATAACACCCCCTTAAGGCTCTACCTTTTCTGCACAATCAAGTTGATGTTCCTCAGGGCAACATACTGAACTTCAGGCTCTCCAGACAGCAGGGTCACCAGCGGAGGGGCAAGTTTCTTCAGCAGCATGTTGTAATAGTCAGAGTCCTTGGGAAGAAGTTCCAGGAACTTCATCAAGACTTTCACCGCTGACAGCACCACTGCCGAGTTGGCGTGAGACAGCCGAGGGGTCACCCGTTCACAAATACTGGAGACAGGAGTAACAAAGGCTTCACATTTATTTCAGAACGTTGAATATTTCAGATTTTATCTGAATTTAGGAAACAATATGTGGCTGAAAACAGCTTCGTCAGACACTTCTTTGATTTGGGTCTGTTCACAAAGAGCAGGCAAAGCTCCTGCTTTCCTGAACATGGCAGGAAGCAAACAAGAAGGACTTCTCACAGCATCAAGTTTCTCTCCTGCCACAATTAGCTCAGGAACTCTCACAGCTCTCAGCATCACAGTCCCAACGCACATTCAGTTATTGGTACTTTCCGCCTTTGCCTGGTGGTGTTCTCTATTTCTGTGATCTCGTCTGTCACTTACAAACACAACTTCAACAAAACAGCTACCAGAAAAATGCTTTAGCCCCCATATAATCATTTGGAGGTGGGACACGCTTCTGGCGTGACTGGGGGGTTGCTGCCACTTCAACCATTTGTTTCTGCAGAAAAAGCTTTCTGCTACTCTGA